TGTTTGTTGTAGTATTTAGCAGGTGCGTGCTCCCGAGGGAACTGTCAATTGAAGGCTTAGTGAAGAATGAGTGAGTGAGTGATTTAATATTTATCATCACAACGGCAATATTTCAGCTATATCGTGACGAGGACAACTGATTATTACGTCATAGACCAATGCAATTAGAAATTAAAAGTTTGTTTGTAAAACAGTAAAACTACTAGTATATCACAGATATAAACGTAAAACTAGCAGGCTATCATAAAACGATACAATTAGATAGAACAATACAATATATAATATGGGCTATAAGTTGCCCACAACTAAAGGTAGATCACCATACTAGAGACCATGGGGACTTACAGTACTTTTGAAACATGCATGGACCCTAGCTGGATTTACCTCATTCCTTCAGCTGTTGACAATTTAGAGAAATTTAGCCGTTGATTTAAACGAACTATACTGAACATCATTGAAAACGCCCCACTTATAAAAGTTCAGATTATTAAATGCACGTGTAAGGAATTGATATGTTTTGAGTTGATAAAAACAGATGGACGACTGACAAAAACAACCACACAGAAAAGACGCCCATTCAATGAAATGTTCCACAGTCAAAAGGGATCAAACACACGTGGGGTCAAATCGAAAAGTCAATATCGCGTGCGACCGCCATTTGCACTGACATGCAGTTCAACGTCTCCTCATTGAGTCAATAAGCATCCGAATAGAGTTCTTGAGGATGGAATTCCACTTCTGCAGTAGTGCAGCCTCAAGTTCCCGGATGTTTCGCATCTGTTGTCGCCGCGAAAGACTTTGACCAATTTCGTCCCACAAGTGCTCCATGGGGGATACATCTGGCGACTGTGCTGGCCAGTGAATAACCTGGATGTGTTGCTGGGCCAGATACTGCATGCAAAGTCTTGTTGTGTGTGCCCGTGCGTTGTCCTGTTGAAAAGTATGGACATCTTGGTGGTGATTGAAGACAGATACGATGTGATTCTGAAGAATCTGTTCAAGGTAATAAAGGGCATTAACTCTCCCTTGACAGACATGAAGGCAGTCCTGTGACTGTAATTTATTCCACCCCAGACCATGACACTCCCACGACCAAAAGGTCTGTCTGAACCACACACTCATCAGCATAACGTTCACCACGTCTACGTCAAACACGTAATCGGCTGTCAGTATTACGTAGATGAAGACGTGACTCGTCAGTGACTACCACACCATGCCATTGTTGTAACCTTTACTGAAAATGCATGCTAACCCATTGTATACTCTCATTACGGTGTCTGTCAGTCAGAATTGGTTCAACGTAAGGACGGGTGCTGCCTGTCTACTGATGTCGTCTATGAAGCCTAACGATGGTGGAGTGGCCAAGTCCAAGTTGTCGAGCAATATCCCTGCTACTGGTGCCAGCCTGAATCATGCCCAGTGCACGTTCTCTTTCGTGAGGTGTTAACCTCGGCATCTCTGTCCTCGTTTCACAATCGTTAGTGAAGCAATGAGAATCGGTTCCCATACACCTGCTTTTAATGTTACAGTCAGTATGATTTCAGAATGAAATTCGCGCTTTTTTCATGGCGTGGCTGCATGTTGATGCATTTTGGAATTAAGAGTCATACTGTGGACAGGAATTTGTTTCTAAAGCACTTTTTCAACTGGACATGCCCTTCGACTTCATGTTAGTTATATTCATTGATCATTGTCATGCTGAAATCCATCTTGATGAAAATATAGACAATTTGAGACTGGTGCGTTTTCAATGATGTTCAATATATATACTACGATTAAAAATGTGGTCACATTTAATATACTTTGAACGTGAACAAAGACACATCGTTACAAGGAGAGGTTTATTGTATGTTTGTTGTAGGGTCCAGCAGTTGCGTGCACCCTCAGGACCTGTACATTGAACACCTGGTGTGTGGAGAGACGACGTGGCGGCGCTGTCTGCGTAGAGGTAAGATTTCTTTTGTGACGAAGCCTTGACTTTATGACAATTTCGTGATGTGAGGAGTAAATACTGACATAATTGGATGATCTCGCCTAGATGAACCCACCATTTTGGTTTAATAAGCTCATGAGTGTAAAAGTATTCCTCAGTTCAGTTTGTATTTGCTTAGTGAAGACATATTGCTGACGGTTGGAAATCTTGTAATAATAATAATTGAGTCATGGTGGCTCAATCGGATATCTTTCTCGGGAATGAGAAGGAGACAAGCTCCTTCGACTGTCCAGAGAGGACAGCCTGACCTCCATGTCCAGAGGTCCAAATTGGTTTTCTGTTGTTTTGGTTTTTGTGACCCGTGTCCGAAATGCTGACATTTGTAACATCGAAGTGGATTTGGTATACAAGTATACACATTCACTCCGATGTTAAAATAACCTGCTTTAATTGACTGGGGGTGAGACGAACGGCACACGGGGCAATTAATATGTGCTTGGTCTTGTTACAATTCCCATTTTTTAAATGTGAAACATTTAACAGTTGGCACTCCCTGATTATCAAGCTCTGCTGCAATGTCCTCCTCTCACATATCAGAGATAACGAGCTCTGTTTCGGATCTCGGATACCATGACATGAATTTACGAAATGCTGAAGTTGTATGATAGTAATGGTAAAACAAACAGGGGTTCGTATGTTATTGTTTTCGATGGGCTTTTCTTATGTTTGGATATCACAGGATTCTGGCAATTACGATATATTTATGCACACCTTATCGACACGCTGTAAGGATATGCAGTTCCAGGATTGGCATGGTAGGCTATCGGGAAGGAGTGATTTCTCCTTTTATTCTAGCTTTAAATCTTTGTTAGACACTGAACGATATGTCGTAGAACTGTTTAGTCATAAAGATTTATTACGAATATTTTGTAAATTTAGATTCCAGTCACACAAATTAAAGATTTGTAAATTAAGGTACGATAATAATATTGATACCGACCAACTTTTATACTCTAATTGTACTATGAGTGTTGTACAAGATGAGTACCACTTTGTATTAGTTTGTCCATGTTATAAGCATCTTAGAGAGCAACTAATCTCTCCTTATTATTTCGCATGTCCTACAAGGGTAAAATTGTATTAGCTGTTAACATCTAACAATCCCAAATATTAAAAAAAATATGTCCATAATTATGCTTGAAACGAAATCTGCCAACTTTAGCTATCACGCATACGATAATGTACTTTCATGTGCTTTTTGCCATGAGGCCTTATCACAGAATAAACTTGTCACTTGTCACTTGTCACATGAGTTCAGTGACATGTGCACAGACACTGCAACCTCAAGTTTGGCAAAAGCCGTAACTGACAACAAACTGAGAGATTGCTGTCTCCGTGGACACTCCACAGGAAGCGAGCCCCTACGGAGACGAGTAATAGTTCTTATTTCTCCACAAATGCCTTTGAAATGGCAATAAGGCTTTAGTTTTATTGATAGAATGTCTGTAGCTTCAATAACCAGAATTCGTTTGATGAATCAGTTTCATTTGGACGATCTAGTTTGTCCAGACGTCGCTTGTTTCATTTCTAGTTGAACCAGCTTGCTGTGGTAACATGATAAAAGGAAAAACATTCAGCACCCCTGCTCCCCACCCACCACGGAGTGTCAACAAGGAAGGTGTCAAATTAGAGTTATTAGCGTTACCCAGCACTCACCGTGGAGAGGTTCCTCTTCACGAGTGCATAATCTTAAAGATATGCTTCTGGACATCGGTGGTAGAAATGTTATTTAGTTAATTTTAACAGCAGAGATTTCAGGTTATATCTATAATCGTATTCCAAGGGTAGGAATGAGGACTTGTTTCTAATAATACAGGTCCTCATACAAAAGATAAGAAACGCAGTCAAACCGATCAGATTGGTTTGAAAAGAGATGAGCTATGTATTGCAAAGGGATCTGTTAATGGGATGGGAGAGGTTCTGAAGGCAACAAAGGCTGAGGCCTTCATGATGATTTGCATCATATAGTCTTAAATTATTTTTACACGCATTGCCATAAACAATGGTGACATAGGCAAGTTGAGAGCGGATAAATGCTGTGTACAGCTTTTTTGGTCTGATGCCCTCCCCACTTTGAACTTTATGCATGCAATTCATCACCAAGGTTTTGCCAACTAGGTTAGATTCTATAATCACTGCTGAAGTATTAGATTAAAGTATAAATTAAAATAACACTGTCACACTTCGTTCTACTGGCATGTTGATACATTTGTATGATAATATATTCATTTGAGTCTCTAAGTAAATTTTATACTACTATTGTTAATTACAGCACAATTCTCTGTTGTCTTTGTTTTGACAGCTAATCCATCCATCCATCCATACGTAAAATAGATCTTTTACCCAGGAATCTAAAACATGCTTTGCTCAAAATCTATGATATCACAAATATGTATCATTAATGTATGTTTTTCATTGATCGCTGTCTAACATTATAGGTTCTTCTTTACCAAATGGGATAGAATAAACACCACTTTTGGTTAGGTTCCATTTCGGTCATGGTCCATTGCATTCAAACGGGAGTTCATGCCCTGTGTCGCATTGAAATAAAGTCCTGTGCAGTTACCCTTGTCATGATTTTACAGAAAAATACAATATGAGTTACAAGAAATAGTAACTACTATATTGAAGAACCTAAATGCTGACACTGCAAGTTGGGCACCATTACAACAACTCGTAGCTGATTGTTTGTTTACTTCAGCTGTTAAGTCAGATTTTCTCAGTTAGGTTCAATCATCATAATTGTCACATAAACGTTGTGCCGTCCTAATGAAAGTCTCATCCTTTTGCGTCGCAAAGGCAAATCCTTCGGTTTCGGATATAATATGATGTTCTACATTTTGAATCTTGTACCTTCCAAACCGTCGTCCAAGATTTGAATAGAGTTTAACTTTGTGTTACAGTTCCATCACTGTGTGACTTTCATACTGCCTCGAAGACCGGGGACATGTCAAAGGGGAAATTCGCGGACATTAATTGTCAACGATGGATTGGTAGAACACCAGCGATGTGGGCAGCCGGTGGGGGCCATCGAGAAATGGTGGAGTTACTTGTAAGTGAAGGGGCTAACGTAACGATTGTCGATGGCTTCCGCATTAACATCCTTCACTCTGCCTGCCTGGTAGGAGATGCAGAGGTGGTGAACTATGTCCTCTCACAACGCACGGTGGACATTACTGACAAAGTACGTTGCGGGAGAACAGCTGTGATGCTGGCAGCAGAGAACGGACATAAAGACGTGGTGGAGCTTCTTGTAGACAAAGGAGCTGACGTGTCACTTGTGGATAGAACAGGTGGCAACATCCTTCACTGTGCCTGTATTGGAGGAGATGCTGAGGTGGTGAACTACATCCTTTCAAAAAATATGGTAGACATCAACAGCAGAGGACATCGCAAGAAGACACCAGCGATGTTAGCAGGTCAGAATGGACATAGAGAAGTGGTTGATGTACTCGTAAAACATGGAGCTAAACTGTCACTCAGAGATAAACGCCACAACAACATCCTTCACCTGGCCTGTGGGGAAGGACATCTTGATGTGGTTAAGTACATCATGTCACTACACACGATGGCCATCGACAGTGGAGGATATGAAACAAAGACACCAGTTATGTTAGCAGGAGAGGGGGGACATAAAGAAGTGGTTGAGTTTCTTGTAAAGCATGGAGCTAATCTGTCACGCAGGGATAAACGCCGCAACAACATCCTTCACCAGGCCTGCTGGGAAGGACATCTTGATGTGGTGAAGAACATCATCTCACTACACACGATGGACATCGACAGGGGAGGATTTACAGGGAAGACACCAGTTATATTAGCAGGAAAGAGTGGGCATAAAAAAAGTGGTTGAGTTTCTTGTAAAACATGGCGCTGATCTGTCAGTCAGAGATAACAGCGGCAACACCATCCTTCACCCGGCCTGTTTGGAAGGACATCTTGATGTGGTTAAGTACATCATGTCACTACACAGGATGGACATCGACAGTGGAGGATATAGAAAAAGGACACCAGTTATGTTCGCGGGAATGAGGGGACATAAAGAATTGGTTGAGTTTCTTGTAAAACATGGAGCTAATTTGTCTCTAAGAAGCAGCGACAATGTCAACATCCTTCACTACATCTGTGCCGAAGGATCTGGATCTGTGGATGTAATGAAATATGTCCTCTCTCTCTGAACGCGGTGAACATAAACAGCAGGGACTCGCATAAGAGGACAGCAGTGATGATAGCAGGAATGAAAGGGCATACAGGATTGGTTGAATTATTCGCAAAACATGGAGCTAACCTGTCACTCATAGATGACAAGGGTGACAACATTCTTCACTTAGCCAGTACTAAGGGACATTTGAAGGTAGTGAGATTTATCCTGTCACTTGGTATTGTGAACATCAACGTCAAGAACAAACGTGGACACACAGCAGTCAAGAAAGCGAGATGGCACCGAGACGTGGTGGACCTACTTGTGTCACAAGGAGCTCACACATAACAGTTGCTTTGCTGTGATGGGTTACCTATTCTTCACTACAAAGACATGCATGTCATACAGACATTTTGACGTGTAGGAGACAAACATGTGATACAGACATGTAGGATACATGCAAGTGATACAGACATATTGACGTGATGAATACAAACATGTGATACAGACATATGGACGTGTGGCATACATGAAAGTGATACAGACATATTGACGTGATGAAGACATACATGTGATACATACAAACTGGCGTGTAGGATACATACATGTGATACAGACACAATGACGTGTGAGATACATACATGTGATACAGACATACTGGCGTGTAGGATACATACATGTGATACAGACATATTGACGTGTAGGATACATGCATGTGATACAGACATATTGACGTGTAGGATACATGCATGTGATACAGACACAATGACGTGTGAGATACATACATGTGATACAGACATACTGGCGTGTAGGATACATACATGTGATACAGACATATTGACATGTAGGATACATACATGTGATACAGACACAATGACGTGTGAGATACATACATGTGATACAGACATACTGGCGTGTAGGATACATACATGTGATACAGACATATTGACGTGTAGGATACATGCATGTGATACAGACACAATGACGTGTGAGATACATACATGTGATACAGACATACTGGCGTGTAGGATACATACATGTGATACAGACATATTAACATGTAGGATACATACATGTGATACAGACACACTGACGTGTGGGATACATACATGTGATACAGACATACTGGCGTGTGGGATACATACATGTGATACAGACATATTGACGTGATGAATACATACATGTGCTACAAACTTACTGGCGTGTAGGATACATACCTGTGATACAGACATATTGAAGTGATGAATACATACATGTGATACAGAAATACTGACGTGTGGGATACACACATGTGATACAGACATATTGACGTGATGAATACATACATGTGATACAGAAATACTGACGTGTGGGATACATACAAGTGATACAGACATATTGACGTGATGAATACATACATGTGATACAGAAATACTGACGTGTGGGATACATACATGTGATACAGACATGTTGACGTGATGAATACATACATGTGATACAGAAATACTGACGTGTGGAATACATACATGTGATACAGACATGTTGACGTGTAGGATACACACATGTGATACAGACATATTGACGTGATGAATACATACATGTGATACAGAAATACTGACGTGTAGGATACATACATGTGATACAGACATATTGACGTGATGAATACATACATGTGATACAGAAATACTGACGTGTGGGATACATACATGTGATACAGACATACTGACGTGTAGGATACACACATGTGATACAGACATATTGACGTGATGAATACATACATGTGATACAGAAATACTGACGTGTGGAATACATACATGTGATACAGACATGTTGACGTGTAGGATACACACATGTGATACAGACATATTGACGTGATGAATACATACATGTGATACAGAAATACTGACGTGTAGGATACATACATGTGATACAGACATAATGACGTGATGAATACATACATGTGATACAGAAATACTGACGTGTGGGATACATACATGTGATACAGACATGTTGACGTGTAGGATACACACATGTGATACAGACATATTGACGTGATGAATACATACATGTGATACAGAAATACTGACGTGTGGGATACATACATGTGATACAGACATGTTGACGTGTAGGATACACACATGTGATACAGACATATTGACGTGATGAATACATACATGTGCTACAAACTTACTGGCGTGTAGGATACATACCTGTGATACAGACATATTGAAGTGATGAATACATACCTGTGATACAGAAATACTGACGTGATGAATACATACATGTGATACAGACATGTTGACGTGTAGGATACACACATGTGATACAGACATACTGAGGTGATGAATACATACAAGTGATACAGACATATTGACGTGTAGGATACATACCTATGATACAGAAACACTTACATGGAGGATACACACAAGTGATACAGACATGTTGACGTATTGAATACATACAAGTGATACCGACATGTTGACGTAATGAATACATACAAGTGATACAGACATATTGACGTGATGAATACATACAAGTGATACAGACGTATTGACGTGATGAATACATACAAGAGATACATACAAGTGATACATACATATTGACGTATAGGATACATACCTGTGATACGGACATATTGACGTAATGAATACATACAAGTGATACAGACATATTGACGTGATGAATACATACATGTGATACAGACATGTTGACTTGATGAATACATACAAGTGATACATACATATTGACGTATAGGATACATACCTGTGATACAGACATATTGACGTGATGAATGCATACATGTGATACAGACATATTGACGTGATGAACACATACATGTGATACAGACATATTGACGTATAGGATACATACCTGTGATACAAACATATTGACGTGATGAATACATACATGTGATACAGACATGTTGACGTGTGGGATACACACATGTGATACAGACATGTTGACTTGATGAATACATACATGTGATACAGACATATTGACGTATAGGATGCATACCTGTGATACAGACATATTGACGTGATGAATGCATACATGTGATACAGACATATTGACGTGTGGAATACATACTTGTGATACAGGCATGTTGACGTGTGGAATACATACATGTGATACAGACATATTGACGTGTGGAATACATACTTGTGATACAGACATGTTGACGTGTTGGACACACACGTGTGATACAGACATGTTGACGTGTTGAATACATACTTGTGATACAGACATGTTGACGTGTGGAATACATACTTGTGATACAGACATATTGACGTGATGAATGCATACATGTGATACAGACATGTTGACGTGTGGGATACACACATGTGATACAGACATGTTGACGTGTGACATGCTGACGTGTGGAATACATACATGTGATACAGACATATTGACGTATAGGATACATACCTGTGATACAGACATATTGACGTGATGAAATCATACATGTGATGCAGACATATTGACGTGATGAATGCATACATGTGATACAGACATATTGACGTGATGAATAGATACAAGTGATACAGACATATGGACGTATAGGATACATACCTGTGATACAGACATATTGACGTGATGAAGACATACAAGTGATACAGACATACTGACGTGATGAATACATACAAGTGATAGAGACATATTGACGTGATGAATGCATACATGTGATACAGACATATTGAGGTGTTGAATACATACAAGTGATACAGACATATTGACGTGATGAATACATACAAGTGATAGAGACATATTGACGTGATGAATGCATACATGTGATACAGACATATTGAGGTGTTGAATACATACTTGTGATACAGACATGTTGACGTGTGGAATACATACTTGTGATAGAGACATATTGACGTGATGAATTCATACATGTGATACAGACATATCAATGACGTGATGAATACATACATGTGATACAGCCATATTGATACAAACATCCATCCATCCATACATACATACATCCATACATAGATTAATCCATCCATCCATCCATCCATCCACACACACACACACACACACACACACACACACACACACACACACACACACATACATATACATACATACATACCAATACAAAATAAACTACCAATCATAACACATTTATCTATTTGCACAACTGTAATCAATATGTATCTTAACAACTCTATTTCTTTGAAAAAGACATATTGACTTGTAGCATACATACATGTGATACAGACATATTAATTTGTTGGTTACACACATGTGATATATATTCATGATGATACAGGTACATTGTAAAACATTGTCAGCAAAGAACAGAGAAAACATCTAGGACATTACAGAAACAGAGTTGAAAACTAGCATCAATCTCTAAAATCTTATTCATATTTAGAACAATGCAATATATAAACCAGCGATAGATCGCCAGCAACTGAAGGTAGATGACAATACTTGGGACCATTGGGACTTGCAGTACTTTTTTCTACCTACCTGCACAGAAGCTGTGGAATGTAGATAAATCTAATGATGAATTAAAATAACCTTTATTCTACGATTAAAGAAAGTGGTAGGTCTAGATTTATTTTTAATGTTTCGGGACTTACGTACCCTCTCGGGAGTAAAATAATATTTCAATATTTTAACATCATGTGAGGATGCAGCCACTATCAATCTCAGTTGTTAATTCAAACTACCAATTATAAAATATACTGAGTCAAAAAAGAAACTTCACATTCTTTCTTCAG